AATTCTCTGGCACTCTTATGGGCATTGCTCTTTCAAATCTTCCATTTATGGCAAAAGCACACAGTTGTACCACTGGCTGCCTCTTTTCTTCAACATAAATTCATCTAAACAACATTTTTCTGAGATTGGGAAATGAAGCCTCCAAAATGAAGGAGAGTCCAATGAATTGGCACCTGTGTTTTGGCATTCTTCTATTGTATTTTTTTCTATGTTAGAATGCCTAACACTTTTGAAATACAATTTTAAGATACAGGTAAGAGAGAAATGATTTCTACAATCTTCATTATACTTTATAGAAAAGATAAAAATGTCATTTAATTTACTAGAATTTTAGATTGGGTGTGCAAGTTGTAGAGTTAGCCAGATTAAAATTGGATAAGTATTATTGGATTATCATTATATTTTATTTTCTTTCATAAGTACATATGGATATGAAAACTAGTTGTAAGATTGAATTATTCTATTAATGATATCATATTATTTTGTTAACCTTATTATACTTATTGTGTAAGGTAGCTTGTGATGAAATAGAACATTAGACTATTTAAAACTGGGTTTAAAGATTCAAGTCATAATGATCTTTATTTTAGAATTATTTCTGGTTACTCTGATATAAATGCATGTCTTCTCTTTAATCACATTCTCTCATTACTACTTGTAAGGTCAGTAACTTAAATATTAACTCCTGTATCCTGTCACCCATTCTGATGATAAGTTCACAGTTATATATATACACATATATATACACGTTATATGTAAGGAATATGCAGAAAGTTTCTGTGTATAGAACTGTGATAAGTTCACAGTTATATATATGTGTGTATATATGTATATGTATACACACACATATATATACACATCATATGTAAGGAATATGCAGAAAGTTTCTCTGCACTACTCTTTCTGATATTTATAACTTAATAAGTTCCCACATACACACAATTTAAATTTGAATATTTTCAACTATTTACTGATTTAGAAGTATGGAGTATGATTTTATGGAGTAAGTCCATTCTAAATGCATGTTTAACACTTATAATCATTTCCATTAATTATATCTATTTCTTTACCAGGTTCAAGTCATTTGGTTCATTTTTGCTAAAAAAATGAACTGGCAGAGGAAAGTACACTCAAGTAATCAGGAGAATTTCGGCAGAGTTTCAGTTCCAATCACTATCAGAATAAAGGTAAAGCAAATTTTAAATATAGAAAGATACTAGCCACTTTGGCTCACACCTGTAATCCTAGCACTTTGAGAAACTGAGGCAGGATGATCACTTAAGGCCAGGAGTTCGAAACTGGTTTGAGCAACATAGCAAGACCCTGTTTCTGCAAACATTAAAAAAAAAAAAATTAACCAGGCTTGGTAATGCATACATGTAGTCTCAGCTACTTGAGAGGCAGGAGGATACCCTCAAGGAGATCAAGGCTGCAATAAGCTATGATCATGCTATTGCACTCCAGCCTGGGCAACAGAATGTGGCCCTGTCTCAAAAAATTGAAAAAATATAGGAAAAGAACTTTCAGACACTGTTAGCAAATTTATGAAAAGCACAAAGTTTATAAAGAAACATTTAAAATGAAGTCTCTCATATGTTAATTCCATATGAAAATAAACTTGGATATTGAATAAAAGAAAGAAGAAGGATTTCTAGGGTTGACCACCTTAAATAAACAGCAAGTGTAAGACAAACATTTACTCAAAAGGCTATGTGCCTTTTTCTTTCCCTATTTCTCTTTCTCTCATTTTTCTCACCCTCCTAAATTTCTCTTTCTTCTCTCTTCTTTTTCCCTCCACATGCTCATCTCTCCTCCTTTTTGGAAGATATTTATTAAAATGCTCTACAGAAGAAAACATTTGTCTAAAAAGGCCAAATGCCCTCCACATTTCCTACAGTATTTTATTTCATGCTACACACTGTTGTGCCACATGTCTTCTATTCAGATTGAATTATTTTTTGGCCTCAACAATATCACAAAATGGAAACTTAAATCTGCTCTCAATGAAACTACTGAAATTTATCACACTCAAAGATCTTTATTCACTCATTGTGCTTTCAGAGCATTTACTTTGGATTTGGGCACAGAATTTCACTTTGTCTGGGAATATCTTTCCCCCTTTATGACCACAGAACTCAGCTTTCTAATTTCCCTCCCACACGTCTGATCACCCTGCTTAATATCCTTTCTGCTTCTTCATCATCTGTTTTGGGAGTCAGCTCTTGGTTGCACTATGAGGTGAACATACTTAATGGATATTCTTTCTACATAGAAATTCTTAGGGAGGTTGGAGTAATCAGCTAGAAAATTTGATAGGAACAGAGGGAAGTAAGGCAGCCAGTGAACAGCCAACATCACGCCCCAAAACTAGCTCAATGAGGACTGCTCACACTGTTCACATGACAAAGCTCACACTGTAAAAATGCCACTGATGTGCATGAAGGATGCAGTACGTGGAGCTCTTGTATTGCTGCCCTCTCTGCCTTAAACCAAAAGTCACTTTTGTCCCTGTACCTTCTTCTTCCTCTCTCTACTTTTCAAATGTAGAGTGAGTATGTGTCATTGGCTAGCCTGTATCATGTCCCTTCACTGAAGATGCAAGGGGAATGAGAAAATTCATTTTTAGTTCTTTGATTCTTAGAATAGTAGATAACCTCTGACAGTCACCAAGCGTTGAGTGGCAGTAAAGAGGATCAGATCTTGGTTATCCCTATAAATGCCATCCTTGCAAATGACATATATCTACTTAGTTACCTGTTTACTATAACTTCTTCAAGTTTCTTTTCTTGCCATTCCTTTCTTTGTCTACTTTCCTATGGATAGGTCATCCCCAACTACTCCCTCTCCAACCACAATGATGACAAGGCATAATGTCTACCAAGTCATAGTGCACTCATATTTCTGCCTAGATCTCACCTGATAGTTCAGGTGATACTCACTCCATAAACTTGTTGGCACATCGAGTTCTTAATCTCAGTTCTTAATGATCATCTACCAAGCCACCAAGTGACTCCCCTATCCTTCATGAATGCTTCTTTCATGTCAATTATGTCACAGAGTACTAGAAAGTCTACATTCTGAAATCTTTTTAATCTATCTCATTATCTCCTCCAATGTCATATCACACACAGATATGACACTTCACCTGCATTTGAATCACTTAATGAGGGCACTTTCAAAATGCAGATTCCTAGAA